CCCCGCCGGCCCCCTCCCGCCCCCCATGCACCCACTGTGCGTCTACACCAGCAGAGGAGCTCACAGGGGCCACCCCATCCTCACCCAGTTACGCTAGAATCACAGACGCCGCTGAGGATCAGATAAAAACTGTCGACCTTCTCCCCAGGAAAAATGAACAGAAACCCCACACAGCACCCAGCCCCAAAGGATCAGGGACTCCCGGCAGATCACGCCCAGTGAGGTTGGGTTAAACTGCCACAGTCTACCCCTTAAAATCCTGGTTTCCCCACCTAACCGGAAGGCCCTCACTCCCGGTCTCCCCTCACCCCCACCCCCGATTGACACTCCCCACTATTTGACAGCTCCCTTTGCTCCTTCTGCTGCTAATCCTGCCCCTTCTTTTTCCTCCCTGGCTAACTCCCAGCATCTTTTGGTGTCACCACCTACAGGAAATCTGCCTCAAGGCTGGACTTAAGTGACCTTTCTTTCTTCTTTCTTTTTTTTTTTGTTATTTATTTAGTGAGAGAGAGAGCCGCCAGGTCCAGGACTCAAACCGCAGTCAGCCATGTGGGAGTCCAACACCTTAACCACCATGCCACTTACCAGCCCCTTAATTGACCTTTCTCTGGGCACCCTGTGAAAACCTCTATGCTAACACCGCTTTATATGTGGATCGCTTATTTGGGGCTTTCTGCTTTCCCCACTGGCCAAGCGATCACTTGGGAGAAGAGAATATGAAACCGCAGCTATAGCACTCCTCAGCTGAGTGACCCTGGAGAAGCACTCCGCCTCTCTGAGCTCGTACCCTCCTGAGTGAGGATGGGAATGGTGGCAACGAGCCGTTGCCCATGTGAGTGTAAATGGCACCTCTGTGTGCCAGGCTTGCCGTAGCAGTTACTGGCACTGCTGAGTGCTGGGAGAGGAGTTTGTCCCTAGTTTGGATGAGTCTGGGCTGAGGACATGCCTCCAGCTGGCTTCTACCCCTCAGGATCTTCCTGCCGTGTCCCAAGGCCTAGCGTGAGGCTGGGCCCTCTGGCTCCCACGTCTACCATCTCCCTCATCTGGGCCAACAGACCGGGGATTCTTGGAAAGGGCTGCCCAGGGGAGAGAAAGCCAGGAAACTGGGGCGAGGCGCGGCCTCGGTCCCCACCGGCCTGGCTGACTCCTCCGCAGCAGGGTTCCGTGGGCTCCTCCCTGCGCCCTCTCCTGCTTCCTGTTTCCTGGGTTTTGTTCTGAGAAGTGTGACGTTTCTCCCACCCCTTCCTTCTGCCACCCCCACGGCCACCCGTCTTCCTCCCCTTGGGTCACCTCCCTTTACTCCCAGGCGTCTGCGACAGCACACACTCACAGGCACAGGCACTCAGCCCTCGCGCACACACGGCTGCTCAGAGGCATGGAGGGCCTAACTGTCACCCCACCCATGCCCCAGAGCACGCTGGGAGCCACTCACCGATTTCTTATCGCCTTTCCACCAGCCTGAGTATACTTTCCTGTACTTGCCGGTCTCCGGGTCAGGAAGGCTGAGAGTGCCGTAGCCATCTCGCTTCCCAAATTTCCACTCGCCCTCGTAGATGGCCCCTTTCTTCTTCCAGACCTGTGTTCCTTTCCCTGGTGACAGACAGATGGGCCGACACTGCAGACACGCCGTTTACCCAGGACGGGGTGGGGATGGGGCGAGGATGTGCCTGCATGGACCTCGGGGACCCTAGTCCAGATGATTCTCAAGGGCTGGAACAGGGTCTGGGCACTATCTCCACACGTCCAGTACCCAAGAGAACCCCAGGGAAGGCTCATTTTCTACAAATTGGCTCTCCAGACCTCTGCCCTGAAGGCAGACTGATGCAGTGAACCCCAGGTAGAAATCCACCCCTTCAGTGTTACGGCTTTACCCCTTTATAATATGGATTGATACCACTGGTGGCATGTTCTAGATGTTTTCCTCAGGTCTCTCCAACACACAGAGAGAGCTGTGTCCTACTGACCTTTCCCTCCCACTCCCTCCAACCCCTATAGTCTCTGTGTAGTCCTGGGAGCCCACCAGCCATGCTCTTGCCGAGGCCTTGGCGCCTGCTTGTCCCCGGGCCTGGAATACTCCCAGGATCTTGGTCACCCACACAGACCCTCAGCATGTTTCCAGGCTGACCCAGGGATCCCAACCTGCTGTCGGCCATGTGGCTTCCAGCACCGCAGACCAGCATGCCAGGGACTGCACCACCTGGCCAGGCCGTTCCCTGTCTTATTTATCATTGATCGTCTGTTGTCTGTCTTGTCCTGAAGAGTGTGAGCCCCTGGAGGGCACAGACGTGGGTCTGTCTTGCTCACTGCGCTGAAGAGTGGTGCCTGGCATGTCACAGGTGACGAATACGTGCTGAGCAAAGGAATGAATACAATATCTGTGAGGCCCAGCCACGCTGGCACCTGCTGGTAAGACGCTGCTGCTTCAAAGGCAGAGGCCACATGGCAGGCCCAGGTTGAATTCTCAGTGCACCTTGAGAGCTAGGCCTGGTGGCACATGTCTGTAGTCCTAGCTATGCGGCAGGTTATGGCAAGAGGAGGGGAGCAGAGGGAGACCCTGGCTTACACACAAAAACACTGGGGGCGCCAGCACGTGGCATGGTGGCTAAGGTCTGGACTCCACATGGGGACTGCAGCTGGAGTTCCAGACCTGTCGGCTTGCTTCCTTGCTTTCTCTCTCTCTCTCTCTGCGTGGTTTGAGTCCTGGACCCAGCAGCTTGAAAATCATACCAGGTGCATATATGAGCAGCCCAAGAGGAGAATGAAAGAGAAGGGATTACAGCGTGGCCATCCCTCCTAAGGGATACTTTCTCGCTTTCCCTCTGTCTCTATCTCTCTAACAAGTGCATACTTTCTCTCTTTTTTAAAAAAATGTTGTATTTAACTTTATTTATTTATTTGAATTTGACCAGAAAGGGACAGAAAGAGAGAGCGAGAAGGCAAGTGAGAAAGCAAACTGCCAGGTCTGGGACTCAAACCATGGTTGGCCATGTGAGAATCCAGAGCCTGTAACCACCTCACCACCTGCTGGCCCCAACAAGTGCATACTTCCTATAACACATTTTTTAAAATAATAATAAAATGTCAGGTTCATGTGTATGCATGCCCCAAAACCCAACAGGAAGGAGAAATGCAAGAGAAAAACTACACGCCTCGTTGAAAGATGCTTTTCTCCTTTTTTCTCTCTCCAGCAAACACATGCACCCTCTGGCAATTATAAATAAATAAATAAATAAATAGGGACCAGCAGTTAGCATAATGGCTATGTTGCCAGACTCCCATTTAGCCAATGCGGTTCGAGTCCCGGACCTGGTGGCTTAAAACTCACGCCGGGCGCGTGTGCGTGCGTGCCCAAGATCTCGAGAGGAGAATGGAGGAGAAGGGATTGCGGCATGACCATCCCCCCTGGGGGGTGATTTCTCACTTTCTGTCTCTCTGTCTCTCTGGCAAGCACACATGCCCTATAGCAACAACCTCTCCAAAAAAATAAAAAAGAAAGAAAGAAAAGAAAATGGAGCCAGCAGGTGGCGTAGTGGTTATGGCGCTGGACTTCCACACGGCCAACCACAGTTTGAATCCTGGACCTAGCAGCCTGAAACTCATGTCAGGCGCATGTGTATGTGTGCCCGAAATCCTGAGACAAGCTCGGAGGAGAAGGGATTGCCGCATGACCATCTTTCTGGGAGGTGACTTCTCACTTTCTCTCTCTCTCTCTGTCTCTCTGTGTCTCCAGTAAGCACATGCACCCTATGGCAAAAGCCTCTCTCTATTAAAAAAAAAAAAGAAAAAAGAAAAAACCTGGGTGCAGTGGTGCATGTCTGTGGTTTCAGGTACTCAGAGGGCTGAAGAAGCAAGATTGCAACAGAATGATAAAAGAGAGCATGGAGAAGAGACTGAGGTGTGGCCATCCCCCGGGAGGTGATTTCTGTCTCTCTGTCTCTGTCTCTCTGGCAAGCGTGCACGCTATAGCCAAAAAATCAATCAATCAATCAATCAATAATAAAAATAGGGCCAGCAGGTGGCATGGTGGTTAAGCCAGCTGGACTCCCACGTGGCTGACTGAGGTTCAAGTCCCGGACCTGGCAACTTGCTTTCTCACTTTCCTTCTCTCTCTAGTCAACTTCAAAAATAAATAAATTAATTAATTAAACAATGGCAATGAATACGACTAAATAAAATAATTCTTTAAAATAAAATAAAAGAGAGAAATAGTCCTTTCAAATAGAGAAAGTGCTTGATCAGACATTTCACAAAAGATTCCAAAGCAGCAGGTAAGCATACGAGACAGAGAGAGCTCAGTCGTTGAGTGGCCCTAGTCATCAGACGCCGACCCGAGAGCCTCGTTCAGTTGAAGTCAGGGTTGAGTTTGGTTCCAAAACCTCCGCATGCAGAGGTCCAGGTGATCCAGGTCAATACTCACACTTCAGGGACCCCTGGGGACACATTTTATGTCCCCAAACAATCCCGCGCACTGCTTTCTTCTTGACCACATGGCCCACCCAGGCTCGGAGCCTTCCCTGGCCTCCTGGACCCCCGAAGTCCCCTCCTTACCGTGTTTCAGGTTGTCCTTCCACTCGCCCACGTAGCGGTCCCCGTTCACAGCGTACACCTGGTGCCTCAGTCCATTCTTCTGGGCCCTCTTGTCCCATCCCTTCCACAGGGGCTCTGACTTTTTCGGGCACTTGGAGACGGGCATGTTGGCTGCTTCTGCAGGGCCAGAGGATGCTGGCAAGAGGTCAGGGACATCAGGGGGTCCGTGCACCCTGTGCAATGCCGCAACCCTGGGGCTTCCTGGGGAGGCGTCTGTCTGAGCTCAAGTGGGGTGAGTCATGTGTGTTCTGAGTCCCCAGGGCAGGTGAGCAGCCCTTGGTGGGGATCTTTCTGTGCTGGACCAACCCTTGGATGTCCCCTCCCTTGCCTCTCATGGGGCCCCCTCAGGGGGTTCTGATGGCACAATCGCTTGGGAGCCCAGGGAGACCAGCAGAGCAAGAGGGTTTGTGATGGCATCAAGGAAAGCTGCCCCTGGGGAGAGAATGCCGGTCACACATTCACAAATTCACAGGACCCATCAGAGCGGGTGCGGGCCCTAGGTGGAGGAGCCCCAGGGGGAAGGGATCCACTCCAGGGGCACAAGGTGAGAATCAGGCCATGCTGGGCTGTCAGCAAGGATGCTGCCGGCCCAGTGCCCAGCTTCTTACCCAGTGGGTCCTGGCGCATCTGTCCGGTGGATGGGTTGGCGATAAGCCCAGGCACTGGCTTTGCAGGGATTTTCCAGTTATTAGGAGAGCCCTCCAATAAAATACTGCCTCGGGGCCAGCGGGTGGCATGATGATTAAGGTTCTGGCTTCCCACATGGCCAACCACAGTTCAAGTCCTAACCCGGCAGCTTGAAAATCATGCCAAGTGCATGTGCATGCATGCCCCGAATCCCAGAAGAATGGATGAGAAGAGATTGGGATTGTAGCATAGCCATCTCCCCAGTGGGGTGATTTCTCACTTTCCCTCTCACTGTCTCTCTCATCCTCTCTCTGGCAAGCACACACGCCCTATAGCAAAAACCTAAAAGATAGATAAATAAATAAAAGGTACTGGCTCAAGGGTGACCAATTACACCAGTTTTCCTGGGACTGAGGGGTTTCCTGGGACCTTGGACTACGTGTTAAATCCGCCCAGACTGCTGGTCACCCTCCTACCTCTGACCTCTGACCCCTGCCTGGGCAGTCTGTTAAGGTTTTTCACCAGCCCCACTACCTCCAAGCCCTACCTGGTAGAGTTACAGAGAGATTTTATGTGGCCCAGGATCTCCTCCACCCTCGGGAGCCCCAGTGCAGACGTGCATGTCTGTCTGCCTGTCTCTGTAGGGCTAGTGCAAGTTAAAGAGACAGTCCCCTTCTCCCGGGGACCTGTATTCCCCCTCAGCAGACACCAGCCAGCTCCTGCCACTGGCTCTGGAGCCCACACACACCCTCCAGCAGCGTTAGCACCGAATGTTCCACCTTGGTGGAAGGACAAGGGCACTGGCCAGTCACAGCCACCTTGGGGTGGCAGGTTTCAGAAGATCACCGGGTCCCAGACACCCACTCACCCCAGTAAGTTTCATGGGTGATCCATGGAGTCACAAGGGAACAACCATGTGTAAGCCTTTTCTCCCCATGGGGTGCAAGCACTGGCTAGAGAAACAGAAACTGAGACATCACCCCCCAGGGGGTATGACCAGCTGCAATCCTGACTCCTCCATTCTCCACTTGGAATTCTGGGTATGCACACATAACGTGCCCAGTGTGAGTTTCAAGCCACTGGTCAGACTCAAATCGCAGTTGGCCATGGGGGAGTCCAGCCTTAACCTCTATACCACCTGCTGGCCCTCGGTTTGAGATTCTTAATGTTTCAAGAGCAAGAGCCTTGCATTTACATTCGCACTGGGCCCCACACTTTACGTAGTTGATCCTGCACGTGCCCTTTCGTTGCTGGATTATGGGGAAGTCTAGGGTCCTGGAGAAGGCCGGAGAACGGGGAGAGGGCACCCGGGGAGCAGGGCAGTTGTAGAAGGTCTCCGTCCTGGCTGGGTGCTGGGGTTGCCAGCCTGCACTTGTAACAACTCACAGGTTCTTCCAGAGCAGCCTGGCGGCACTGTCTCCTTCTGGAGGTGCTTGGAATGCGAGCGGTGGGCCTGTTCTGCCCTCCACTTCCGAAAGAAGGAGCTCCTCTTTCCGTCGCAGGGACCATGGCTTCTCTTAGTCCCATACCCCACCCAGTGCCTGGCACGTGGTAGGCCCCTCTTTCAGGGAGAGGGCCAGCTCCAAGGCAGCTAGGTCCCACATGGCCGACTGCATGGTTCAAATCCCAGTCCTGGCTGCTTGAAAAACACGCTGGACATGTCTGCATGCGTGCCCCAAAATCCCAGCAGGCTGGAGAGATGGAGGAAAAGGGATTGCAGCATGACCACACCCGGTGAAGGGTGCTTTCTTCCTCTCCTCTCCATGTCTCTCTGGTAAATATATGTGCCCTCTGGTAAGGAAGAAGGTATTTTGTTTTGTTTGTTTTTCAAATCTATTTTTCCTTCTTCTTTTAGTTTTTTTTCTTTTTTTGTCATAGGGCACATGTGCTCACCAGAGAGGATGAAAGGGAAAGTGAGAAATCACCTGCCAGGTGAGATGGCCATGCCACAATCCCTTCTCCTCCATTCTTGCTCTGGTATTTTGGGCACACATGCACACTCACCTAGCATGATTTTCAAGCTACCAGGTCCTGGACTTGACATAGTCAGCCACGTGGGCATCCAGTGCCTTAACCGCCACGCCACCTGCTGGCCCCAAGAATTATTGATTTATTTGAATTTGCTACAGAACTCGTGTGTTCACCAGAGAGAGAAGAAAGAGAGGGAAACTGAGAAAGCAAGCTGCCAGGTTCGAGCCCCATACCCAGAGGCTTGAAAATCACATCTGGCATGTGGGCATGTATGCCCAAAATCCCAGGAGGAGAATGGAGGAGAAGTTATTTCAGTATGGTCATCCCTGTTGGAGGAGGTGATTTCTCATTTTCCCTCTCATTGTCTCTATCTCTCTCTAGTGAACGCGTGTGTGCTATGACAAAAAAAAATTTTAAAAAGGAGACTTTACATACTGCTATATAAATGAAAACCAGTAGCAGGTACCCTAAGGCAAAGGTAACTATAAAAATAACAGTAGGGACCAGCATAATGGTTATGTCACTGGATTCCCACACGGTTGACTGGGTTTCAAGTCCTGGACTCACAGCTTAAAACTCAGGCTGGGTGCATATGAATGCGTGCCCAAGATTCCAAGAAGAGAATGGAGATGGGATTGTGGCGTGGCCATCCCCCCGGGGGGTGATTTCTCATACTCTGTCTCTCTGTCTTTCCAGCAAGCACACGGTGCCCTACAGCAAAAATCTCTCTAAAAAAAATAATAAAATAAAACAAATAAAAACAGTAAATACAGACTAGCTTGAGGGCCAGCAGGTGGTGTGGTGTTGGGATGCTAGATTCCCACATGGCAGACCACAGTTCGAGTCTTGGACCTGGTGCTTAAAGATCACGCCAGGAGTGTGTGCATGCGTGCATGTGTACCTAAAGTCTTGAGAGGAGAGCGGAGGAGGGTTGCAGAGTGGCCATCATCCCTGGGAGATTTCTCCCTTTCCCTGTCTGTCTCCAGCGAGCACACAGGCCCTATGACAAATACGTAGAAAAAAAAAATCTAACTTAAGTCTTAGGTAGGTACTAAGTCTTACAGTGGGTGGGGCTCCAAGGTCCCTTTTACAAAGAGAAATCAGCAGGTTTTCAGGGAGATATTAGCCCCAATCTGAAACTTTCTCCTTCGCTTATTCCGAATTGGTATGAGAACTCAGACTAGTAACTTTCTTATGATGTCAAGGGTGTTACTCAGTGCTTCACACAAAATTATCCTTTGCCACGTTCAGGAACACAGGACCCACCTACTCCAGGTGAGGTTGCCATGGTAAAATACGAGCTGTCCATGGGGCCTGGGCATGCAGTGTGGTGAGGGACCCTGCACGCATTGAATTGCTTTGATGCTAAATTACGATAAAGAGCACAGCAGTAGATGGAGGGGGTGGAACCCAGACCGCCTGGAGTCAGCACAGAGCCCGCCCGTCCCACCTGAACCCCTCACCTGTGTTCACCCGCTGGCCACAGCCTTCAGCTTCTACTGCAGGTGCTGCCAGAGCGCGCTGCGCGTCCGGCCCGGCTGCGGTCGCTATGGCAACGCGACACCATAGCAAAACCACCGGCTGCGCCTGCCCCTTCCCGCCGCGGCCAGATAGCAGCAACGTTTGAAGGGCAAACCACCGTCACATTGGGATGGTCTCGTGGGGGTCTGGACTGCTTTGAACGCCCGATGGAAGTCTGTAGACGCTCCTTGCATCAAGCCCTGCATGTCCCAGACACGCGCATCGGCTTGAGTCACGCCCCCCTCGCACCCTCCAGTGACCCCCCAGTCCCTCTGTAACAGCCACAGCCCTTACTGCGGCCTTCACGTGCCTCATCTGCCGCTGCTCCCTCTTCCTCTCAAACGAAGGCCGCCTTGCACCCGGCACTGGTCTGCTCCAACCGCAGGCTTGTTTCCTTGTTCCTGGAAAATGCTGGTCCGGTGTGGCCCCAGGGTCTTTGCCTCCTCTGTGCTGGCTGCCAGGACAGCTCCTCCTTCAGACAGCAGCCTGGACCATTTCCCTCTCCTTTGGGGCTTTTTCCAAAAGTGGGCTTCTTTCCTGGAACCCCTCTATTTGAAGTTGGAAGCCCCTCGTGGGCTGGCTAACGCGCATTCCTGTTTCACTCTTATTCATTTTCTTTTTTTTTTTTTTTTTGGAGAGGTTTTCGCTACAGGGCGCATGCGCTCACCAGACAGACAGAGAGAGACATAGAGGCAGAAAGCGAGAAATCACCCCCCAGAGGGGATGGTCACGCCGCAATCCCTTCTCCTCCATTCTCCTCTTGGGATCTTGGGTACGCACGCACACGCACCCGGCGTGAGTTTTAAGCCACCGGGTCCGGGACGCGAACCACGGTCGACTACGTGGGAATCCAGCGACATAGCCACTACGCTAACTGCTGGTTCCCTCTTATTCATTTTCTTTAAAGACAAAGATTTTTCTTCCAACTTTTATTTTCAATAAAATATTTCAAACACACAGAAAAAACAATTACAACAAACACTTGTTACCACTTCTGCCTATAATCAACAATTGTGGGCATTTTTTTCATTTTCCATTGCAACTCAGGGCTGTTTTTTGTTTGTGTTACGCTATCTCCATAGGACCGGGAAGAGGACCAGGCATTTATTGACCAGTTGCTCAATAAATATTTGTCAAAATGTAAACAACTGGAGCCAGCAGCTGGCATGGTGGCTAAGACGCTGGATCTCACAAGGTTGACTCCACAGTTCAAGTCCTG